AAAATCTTAAAAAAAAAAAAAAAGAACCCTGAAACTATCTTTATCTTATGTACACATTTTATGAACTGTTGTCCTTTGTGGCTAGTGAAACTTATCTTCTCACAGCAAGACAAGTAATCGTGGTCATTTCCAGCTGAGAGGGGAAGGGCTTATATGTGCACCAGCATGAGGGGAATACTTTGGACAATTCTCTTCTCCCATGGAAGAGAGTGCCCTGTCCTCGTCAGCGTTCCCATCTCAACATCTGAATACCCCAGTGTTTATGGGTTCAAGATTTAGATCATGTGGAAAGTGTCAGAGCTTTCTTTGTCTCTGCTTTTTTCACTTTTTAAGTGAAATATGATATAAATTTATTGTTTTAATTTTTTAAATGAATGTTTAATTATTAAAGTATACTTGAGGGAAATGAGAAAGATTGATGGCAAAGGCCATGTAAAAAGATTGGGAAGTATGAAAACACTAATTTGAAAAGATACATGCACTCCTTTGTTTATTGCAGCATTATTTACTATAGCCAAATTATGGAAGCAGCCCAAGTGCCCATTGCTATCTGAATGGATAAAGAAGATGTTGTGTATATATACAATGGGCTATTACTCAGCCATAAAAAAGAATGAAATCTTGCCCTTTGCAACAAAATGGATAGAACTAGAGAGTATAAAGCTAAATGAAATAAGTCAGTCAAAGACAAATACCATATGATTTCACTCATATGTGGAATTTAAGAAACAAAACAAACAAAGAAAAAAAGAGACAAACCCAAAACAGACTCCTAACTAAAGATTGGTTGGCAAACTGATGCCAACCAATGGCATCAGTTGATGGTTGCCAGAGGGCGGGTGGGTGGAATTTAAGAAACAAAACAAATGAACAAAGAAAAAAAGAAAAAAAAAAGACTTACATATAGAGAACAAACTGGTAGTCACCAGAAGGGAAGTTGGTGGTGGTGGGGGATGGGTGAAATAGGTAAGGGGAATAAGAGTGCACTTATTGTGATGAGAACTGAATAATGTATAGAATTGCTGAATCGTTATATTGTAGACTTGAAACTAATATAACACGTATGTTAACTATACTGGAATTAAAGTAATATAATAAAAATAAATGAGTGAATGAATAAATAAGTAAATAAAAAAATGAGAAGTGGGTTTAGCAGTTCAAATGAGATTGAAAACTGTAATTGTGAGCCTTGACGGTAGGTGGTACCACAAGCCTGGCAGAGATGAACGAAGGGACAGACTATTTGGTTACTCAACTTCAAGAGTTCTGTCTGTTATTGTGACTAAAAGCTCCACATGCAGATTTCATTTAACTGCTGTGTTTTTAAAGCCAGCCACAATAGATTTGTCAGTCAACATTTGAATCAGAAAGAGGAGAAAACAAGATCACCTCTATTGTATTCTAGATCCTTAAGTGACATTATTTCCTTCCAAGCTTTGAAGATAAAAATGTAGATATAGATATAAATAGAAAGATGTTTAGAGGTTTGAGATCATAGTGAATAGGCTAATTTGTAACTACTTTTAGATCTAATATATGATAAACAATTTTGTTTTGTCACTAAATGTCCTTCTAAAACATTGTTTTGAAGGACTGTATATAATTGTGCTATAATTCATTTATTTAGTTCTTGAAAATTTTGTACACTTATGGGAATTAATTGAAATTAATCTTTAGCATCTTTATTGAATGGTTGGCCTT